GCAACAGGCACATGGGGTGCGGTAGAGGGATGAAGAGGGAAACGGGGGCAGCAAGAGTGCGTCCTGCACGCTTGAAGTGCCCGTTGTGCCCGCTGTGCCCGCCGAGAGCGTTGAGAATGAATCAAATGAGCGTGCAGACATTGAAAATATTTCAATTTCAGCAGAGTTTCCGCTGTTGCTTGCCACATCAGATTCAAACCTCCTGCCAGAGCTCCCAGAAAAGCTTGCAACCACGTCCTCCAGGCAACGACGCCCGTTATCCAAATCATCCTCGTTACAAGCATCCACGTCCTGGATAAGCAGCGCTGTAGAGCCACTGCCGTCGAAGTCCGCATCGCCATTGCCGGAAACAGGGGTTCCATGATCATGGGGAGCCGGGAGCGCCAGGGGCGGCTGGAGGAAGTACACGTCGCCGGGCTTTAGCACGTGCTGCGGGCGCAGGAAGGGGCCGTGCGATGACGTCAGCGAGCCCACCTTACAGCCCGGGTGATCCTGAAGCACGTCGCTCACGCGTGTAGCCCTCCGAGAATCACTGCGGGGAATCGGCTCAAATGAATTGCTGGTTGTTGAATAGCTGTCTGTCGAAGCCGCGGCGCGGGATGAGACACGGGCGCCATTGGCGTTCTTCCTCGGAGTTTGAGCCCGGGTCTGGGTCTGGGTCTGGCTGTGTGCGGCGGAAGGCTGCGAGGAGCACACGATTTGGACGGAGCCGTCAGGCAGCAGCAGAAGCGCCGGCTCCGCGTCCTTTGATGGCTCCCGCCGCGGCAACCCGACAGTGCCGCCGGTTGACGGATGCTGACGTGCGCCGGCTGACGGTGGGAGCGATGATGCGGCGGCGGCGCCGGACGACGGTGTTTCAGCGGCGCCGCCTGTGCGGGTGCTGCTCGGCGCGCGACTGGCGCCCAGCGCGTGCGACAGCCGTGACCATCCCGCGGAGAATTTCGGTGCGAGAGCCCGCGGCGACTCCGCGCTCACGCCCGTACACGCATCCAATGGCCGCCGCCGCTCCTCGTCGGAAGCTGTCGCGAAAGTGGAATTAGCAAAAATTGGCGAAGAAGACGGCGCCAATCTCGTGTCGTCGCTTACGCACATGGCGACAGTCAGTGGAGCAACCAGCTGACAGTAGAATCGATGGGTTTTTTGCAGTAGAGACGGGCGACAAACGTAGAGCATCGAGCGCCTCAAGCTGAGGAAGCACAGATCAAAAGAAGGGTAGATAGGAGACTTTTGCGCCGCGACCTTCGCGGCAGAGGTCTCCCTCCTTTCAAAGGTGCGTCGCTCGGAGCCACGCGTATGAAAGACAGAACCGAATATTTCGTTCCCCTGATCAGTTACTACACAAAAAATGGGTTGGGGGGAGGGGGGTGGTGTGAATTTTTATCCAAGTGTTGAACCTTGAAACTATCAAGCTGTCATCTGGTCTGGTGTATACACTGTGACAGTCCGCTTGTGAGGGGGAATGATGTTATCGCGGCGGGTAGAAAATTGTGGCGGCTCGGTTTAGTATAGACGGCATGGTGGGTGGTTTGGCGTCGTGGCCGTGGCTACTGGGACAGGAGGTTCGGTTCCGTAGCTCAAGCTGGTTTGGGTGTACAGCTCCGACAGGTGGGAAAATCTTGTCCGATTGACCATGCTTTTCTCGGTCGGAAAAACAGAAAGCATACGCGCTGATGTTCCACCGCTATGTTGTGTGTTTGTATCCCTTGGTAAACCTAACCACCGCTATTTTCTTTCGGTATATTTTCAACCCCACTTGCACAAGTGGGGTATGCACCCTTTCTAAATTTTTGACCGAGGGTTGTGTGGGGCATCATTAAATTATAGCGAGAGTCTGTTCCAGATTCCCGAAGAGAGAACTGTAGAATTGCGCTATGGATTCAGATTCGCAGAATGAGTTGAAACTTCGAGCATTAGGCGTCATTCATAGCCCCAGTCATCAAAGTATCGAACTAAATGTGTCAACCAAACGGGGTCCGACGGTGGTCCACGGAGCGTCGACCTGACCGACGGGCAGGAAAAAAACTAAAACCCCATCGGATGGCATGCCATCCGAGGGGGGCATCAACCCTAAATCCATGCCTCCCTGTGTTAAGGGTTGATGCCTCCCTGACCGGATGCATGCCCGACTGGGGTTTATTTTTTTTGCCCGCGGGCAGCGAGCTCATCCGGGCGGGGTCGCTTGTCGGCCGAAATAGTCAAAAACGTGCAGGGTAACTTTGAAACGCGAGATTAGTGGGCTGGGCTTCCCCTTGAAAATAACGGTGGTTAGGTGTATTGTAGAGATAAATTGTACATATGCATGATTTCTCGGTTGGGCAGCATCACCTGACCAACTGAGTGTTCACTTGAATTTACATGTGCCCTAGCTAAATGCTTTTACCGTTACGACACGACACCTTCCTCTGTCGCGTGGTCCCCCCATCCTCCCAACTTTCCCAACGCCCCGGAAACTTCCGTCCTCCCACTTCTTTCCACCCTCCACCCTCCCTCCTCTCCCCTCCCATTTCCGTCCCTCTGCACACAGCTGACCCCTCCTCTTTCTGCCATCGGGGGATTTGGCTGTAGTGTACTGAACTGTGGATTTGGCTGCAGCTGCGGGACAAAGAGAGGGACAGCGGGCGGGAGGAAGGGGACAAAATACCGCGAGGGAAAAGCGCCGAAAACTCCTCAGTAAGCTGGATGTGCGTCACGACGAAGCAGGCCATGTGACTCGAATCCAGAAAAGGTGCGCTGGAAAGCTCAATAGACCTGGACTTGCCTTGTTGGAAGATCTGCGTTGTCTGATAGGTCGATTGGGATCCAACGGCGTCGTCCGTATTAAATATCCTTGTTGGCGTCCGCCACGCACCTCTGCTCCTTTTCGCAACATCTTGCCACGCGGTGAATCCTGACGGTTGGAACTTTCGATCCGAAGGTTGACATTCACCGATATCCCTCGACGTCGAGCTTGTGCAGCACTTTGATCACCCATTAAGGGCGTGTCTGAAGTGAATTTCGGCGTTTGCCGACGAAAGTTTCGTCGACGTTCCTCGACGAAAATCGACATCCGTTTTCAGCTTTGTGCACTTCAGACACCCACACGACATAACAACCCACACGTGCCATATGAACACTGTTATAAGTTGCCCATGAAAATCCGACGTGGAATTAACAGAATCATTAATGTAACTCAAATGTTTGTAATCTCGCTAATTTCGCTTAGCCGTGTTATGAGTTGTACGAAAGAAGAGTGCGCAGTATTCAATAACGCGGAAGTGATTTCAAACTACTTAGCAAACAACGAGGCCTAGGCATAATATAGCAAGGCTAGTTAGGCCGAGGTCGCGGAGTCTCGCGAAGGTTGGGTGCAGGTTTGGGGTTGGGAGACCCGAAGGCGACGCGGAGGACGTTCGGAAGGCAAGGTCGACGGACCGAGCCTGAACTCCGAAAAGTTGGAATTGAACGCGTAATGAGTGCCTCAGTAAGGAATTAGGAAAATTCCTTACAATAGATAATTGTTGGTAACACCGGATATTCTACTGTCACATTGTCAGCGACATATCACTAGCACGTGACGCTCTCTTCTTAGTTCTTAGTCACGTGTGTTTGCTAGCAGCCATGCAGACATGCCGTGTCGAAGAATTGTTTTTGAAGCACTCACAGACTACAGTAACTCAAACAGCTGCATGGTATCACTGTCCAACATCCCTCGACATGTGTATGAACGTCGAGTTTCGTCGAAGGATGTCAGGCTGCACTTCAGACACCAACACGTGTGGGTCTGACGGATGAGTTTCGTCGACGAAAATGTCAGGCATATATGCTATAGTCTGTGTAGGCTGTAGTGGGGCAGTTCATATGGGGTACAACACTTTAGGGTTTGCTACTTGTACTCCCCTTTCTGCTCAATGCATTCATTCTCATTTCTCGTCATGGTATCGAGCAGGTTCCCTAGTGGGAACGCTACCTAGGGCCTACCACAATACTTTTTTTTTCCTGCCCGGAGCGCGCTTCACTCCTGCCCGAGTCGCGCTCTGTGTGCCCTCCCTACCTTCGAGCCGCCCTTAGTGGCCCCTCTCACGGCCCCTTTGGCCGCCCTTACGACCCCTCGCGCCGCCCTTACGGCCCCTTACGGCCCCTTAAGGCCCCTCGCGTCGCCCTTACGGCCCTCGCGCAACCCCTTTCGGCCCCTCGCGGCGCCCTTTCCGGCCCCTTACAGCCCCGTCTAGGCCCCTTGCGACCCCGCTACGGCCCCGTCTAGGCCCCTTACGGCCCCTCCGGGACCCCGTCTAGGCCCCTTGCGGCCCCGCTACGGCCCCGTCTAGGCCCCTTACGGCCCCTCCGCGGCCCCGTCTAGGCCCCTTGCGGCCCCGCTACGGCCTCGTCTAGGCCCCTTACGGCCCCTCCGCGGCCTCGTCTAGGCCCCTTGCGGCCCCGCTACGGCCCCGTCTAGGCCCTTTACGGCCCCTCCGCGGCCCCGTCTAGGCCCCTTGCGGCCCCGCTACGGCCCCGTCTAGGCCCCTTACGGCCCCTCCGCGGCCCCGTCTAGGCCCCTTGCGGCCCCGTCGCCGCCACGTGCGGCCCCGTCGCCGCCACCAGCGGCCCCGTCGCCACCACCTGCGGCCCCGTCGCCGCCACCTGCGGCCACGCAGCCGCCACCTGCGGCCTCGCCGCCACCTACAGCCCCGTCGCCGTCACCTGCGGCCCCGTCGCCCTCCCCTAGCGGCCCTGTCACCGCTCAGCCGCCCAGCGACCGAGCCGCCGAGCAGCCGAGCCGCCCTGCCGCCGAGCCGCCCAGCATCCGAGCCGCCCTGCCGCCGAGCCGCCCAGCAGCCGAGCCGCCCAGCAGCCGAGCCGCCCTGCCGCCGAGCCGCCCAGCAGCCGAGTCGCCTAGCACCCGAGCCGCCCTGCCGCCAAGCCGCCGAGCCACCCTACTGTCGAGCCGCTGCTGTTCCTACCGGTGCTCCCCGGCCCTCCTTCCTCGGACTGGTGAGCTCACTTCCTGCTAGGCCACTGCAGTCATGGCTACCCCTAGTGTCCTTACTTTTGATGCTGAGGGCCGTGCCGTTGACTTTGAGGTCTGGGTCGATGACCTTCAGCTGTTTCTCCAGTGCGATAGGGCAGACGGACTCTCTCTGTTCGATCTCACCTCTGGTGTCTCTCCTGCCCCGCCTGCCACTGCTGACAGCACTGTTCGCTCACAGTGGGCCACACGCGATGCTGCTGCTCGCCTTGCTGTGCGTCGCCACTTACCGACCACTGAGCGTGCACACTTTAGCCAGTACAAGAGTGCTCAGACCTTGTACGACGCTGTAGTTGCACGCTACTCTTCCCCTGCCACTGCTGCATTGAGCCGCCTCATGCTACCGTACCTCTTCCCTGACCTTGCTGCCTTTCCCACAGTCGCTGACCTCATTACGCACCTCCGCACTAGTGACACTCGCTACCGCGCTGCGCTTTCTGCTGATTTTTGCGCCAAGAACCCCCCCCCCCCCATGTACATCACCCTCTACTACATAGTCACCCGGCTCCCTGACTCTCTTCGCGTAGTCAGGGACCACTTCCTCTCAGTTTGCCCCACCACTCTCACCGTTGACCTCCTCGAGAAGGGCCTCCTAGCAGCAAAGAAGAGCATAGTCGCTGTAGGAGCCTCTCGTGGTGACCCTTGCACCCCCGTCTTTGAGGGGTGTACCCCCTCCCCCCTCTTGCCCTCTGTTGCTTCTGCTGCTGCGGTCGACCTCGTTGGTTTCGAGTCGATCGGCGCTGCGTCTGCCCCTAGCGGGAGACGCCGCACCGGCAAGGGCAAGGGGGGCAAGGGCACTGGAGGGGCTGGCGGGGGCGGTGGAGGTGGTGGTGGAGGTAGTAGAGGGGGTGGGGGTGGTGGTGGGAGTGGTGGCGGGGGTGGCGGCGGCAGCGGCAGCAGTGGAGGCGGAGGAGGCGGCGGTGGTGGAGGAGGGAGCGGAGGCGGCGGAGGTGGCGGAGGAGGCGGCGGAGGCGGCGGCGGCAGCAGTGGACCTGGTCGCGGCTCTGCGCAGAGGAGTGGCTCCGGTGGTGGTACGCGCCAGCAGCAGCAGAGCAGTCGTGAGACCCTGTCCCCTCAGCAGCTTCGTGAGTGGTACGCTGCGCGTCAGCGCGGTGGGGGTACGGGTCCCTGCACCTACGTTCTCCGCACCGGCGACCGCGCTGGTGAGCAGTGCGGGGGCCCGCACTCCACCCAACGCTGCTTCGGCCGCCTGACGGACGCGTGGCGTCACCAGTTCCCTGGGGCCTCTGAGATCCCTCGCTGGGGAGAGCTGTCTAGGGCGGGGGTTGCTATCTTTGATCTTGATTTTGATGCTATTCTTGCTACCATGTTTGCTGTTGATGATAGTGTTGCGGGTGACTGTTACCTGTGTGTACCGCGTGACCCGGGCATTGAGGCTGCTGCTCTAGGTGCTCGTGCGTCTGCTGCCCCAGGTGCCAGTGCGTCTGCTGCCCCAGGTGCTGGTGAGTCTGCGCTCTCAGGTACTACGTCGGCTCAGGCCTTACACACCTTCACCCTTGACTCGGGTGCGTCCCGCTCCTTCTTTCGAGACCGCACCACTCTTACGCCGCTCAGTCGGCCGGTTGTAGTCTCCCTGGCGGACCCCTCTGGGGGTCCTGTCCTTGCTAGCTTCTCCACTTTCTTGCCGTGCCCGGCAGCCCCCTCTGGCACCCTGTCAGGTCTCTACCTCCCCTCGTTCTCTACAAACTTGGTGAGTGGAGCGGACCTACAGGATAGGGGGGTTGACCAGTTCACCCCTGCGAGTCAGCGGGTGACCCACTGCACGTGTGCTCGGACAGGCCGACACTTGGCCACGTTCAACCGTCGGCCAGGGTCGAGCCTGTACACCCTTACTACTGAGTCTCCTCCGGCTGCTGAGTTTGGCCAGGTAGCTGCGTCGAGTCAGGTGTTTGCTGCAGCGTCCAGGTCTGGTCCTGAGTCTGCTCCCTGCTCGTGTCGTCTACTGTCCCACAAGACTCTCCTTTGGCACCACCGCCTTGGTCACCCCTCCCTGCCTCGTCTCCGAGGCATGGCCTCCCGTGTCCTTGTCTCTGGTCTCCCTCGGTCTCTCCCTCCCCTACCTCCGGGGCCTGGCCCTACCTGCGTCCCCTGCGTCGAGGGGCGACAGCGCGCCGCCCCTCACTCCTCCGAGTTTCCTCCGACAGAGGCTCCGCTGCAGACTCTCCACATGGACGTGTGGGGCCCCGCCCGCGTTAGTGGGCAGGGGCGGGAGCAGTACTTCCTGCTGGTGGTTGACGACTACTCGCGTTACACCACAGTCTTCCCCTTCCGCAGCAAGGGTGACGTCACTGAGGTGTTGATCGATTGGATCCGCGCAGCTCGTCTCCAGCTCAGGGAGAGTTTCGGCTCGGACTTTCCTGTTCTGCGTCTGCACTCCGCCAGAGACCACCCCCGCCTTGCGGTGGACCGGGAAGGTTGGCGATGCGTCTGCGTTTCGGGTCTGGGGATCTCGGGCGTTTGTCCGCGACTTGTCTGCGGACAAGCTGTCCCCCCGTGCTGTTCCCTGCGTCTTCCTTGGCTTCCCCCCTGACGCGCCTGGTTGGCAGTATTACCACCCCACCTCGCGCCGTGTTCTGTCCTCCCAGGACGTCACCTTTGACGAGTCGGTGCCTTACTACCGTCTCTTCCCCTACTGCACTGCGCCCCTCCCCCCGCCGCCGCTCTTCCTTGCGCCAGGTCCTCCCTCGGTAGACCCCCTCCCCCCTCAGGGTCCTGCCCCGTCAGGTGTGTCCCAGGTGGACGCAGTCGAGTCTGTCGAGGTAGCTGTTGACTCTGGTGCTGCTAGAGGTGCTGAGCCTGCGGGTGCCGGGTCTGGGGGTGCTGAGACTGGGGGTGCTGAGACTGGGGGTGCTGAGTCTGGGGGTGCTGAGTCTGGGGGTGCTGAGTCTGGGGGTGCTGAGCCTGGGGGTGCTGGGTCTAGGGGTGCGGAGCCTGGGGGTGCGGAGCCTGGGGGCGCTGGGTCTGCTCGTGTGGCCTCCGGCGGTGCTTCGTCGAGGCGAGAGCCGCTCTCTCCACAGGAGCTGCGCGAGTGGTTTGCCCGCCGCTGGGGACGTGCTGCTGAAGCTGGAGGTGCTCCTGTTGCTGCTGGTCCCGGAGGTGCTCGTACTGGCGGTCCTGGAGCTGCTGGGGCCACTGGAGTTGGTCCTGCTGGAGCTGCTGGCGGTGCTGGTGCTGCAGAAGCTGGAGCTGCTGGGGGTGTTGGCGCTAGTGTTTCTACTGGCGCTGGTGCGTCTTGGAGTGCTGCTGAGGCTGCTGGAGCTGGAGCTGCTGGGGGTGTTGGCGCTGGCGGTACTGCTGGCGCTAGTGCTTCTGAGGGTGCTGGAGTTGGCGCTGTTGGAGCTGGAGGTGCTGCTGGCGCTGGTGCTGCCGCTGAGGGTACTGGTGCTATCCTTGCTGGTTCTGGAGGCGCTGCGCGGCCGAGGCCGTACTTCGTTCCGCTCTTGGAGCAGGTTCTTGGTCTCCCGCCCTCTAATGGTCCTGCTCCTCCCTTAGAGTGTCCACAGCCTATCCAGTCCCAGTAACAGTTACAGCCTGCCTCCCCTCTACCTGCTCCTTCTCCCTACACTGGTCCTACTGGATGTCATGCTGAGCGTCGTAAGCCTGCGTCTCGTCCTGCGTCGCCTGTTCGTGCTGCTCGCACTAGTGGTCATACTGCACGTCCACGTCCTCCTGCGGTCCCCGGCACACACCAGATGGCGCTGCGTCCTTCCACTGCTCCTCTGCGTGTCCCGTTACCGTCTCCTCTAGAGTCCTCTCTTCCTACTCTTGCTGACTCGGAGTCTGACTCTCTTCGTGCTGCTAGTCCTTCTGTCACGCGTCTTCTGGCTACTGTTGTCACTGACCCTTCCTTTGAGTCCACTGCTGCGTCTGCCCTAGTTGCTGAGCTTGTCGACTTCGCTGCTCGCTGTCGTCTAGACTACGCTGCTAGTCTCGTTGCTGAGTCTGAGTCTGTTTGTCCTCCGTCCGTCGGGGGTGAGTGTGCTCTTAGCACGGACGTCCTTGAGGACAGGCAGGAGGACTTCCAGTGCTTTGCTGCTGCTTTGCCCCATCTCGTGTCCATGCTGATTGCCCTTGAGGGAGACCCGGATGCACCAGACATCCCGACTCCTCGATCGTACGCTGAGGCGATCGAGGGTCCCTACTCCTCTCAGTGGCAGTCGGCCATGGACGCAGAGATGGCTTCCTGGAAGTCCACAGGCACCTACGTTGACGAGGTTCCCCCACCTGGGGTGAACATCGTCAGTGGCATGTGGATCTTCAGGGTGAGGCGGCCGCCGGGTTCTCCGCCTGTCTTCAAGCCGCGTTACGTGGCTCGAGGCTTCAGTCAGCGGCAGGGAGTTGACTACTTTCAGACCTTCTCTCCCACCCCGAAGATGACCACTCTTTGGGTGCTGCTGCACATAGCTGCTCAGCGCGACTACGAGCTTCACTCTCTTGACTTCAGCACAGCTTGTCTGCAGGGCAGCCTGCACGAGGAGATCTGGCTGCCGCGCCCACCTGGCTTCACTGGGTCGTTTCCTCCTAGTACCCAATGGAGCCTCCGGCGGCCAGTCTACGGTCTCCGCCAGGCGCCCCGTGAGTGGCACGACACACTGAGGACTACACTTGCGGCTCTTGGGTTTGCTCCTTCTACAGCGGACCCGTCGCTGTTTCTACGCACCGACACTTCTTTGCCGCCGTTCTACATCCTCGTGTACATCGACGACTTGGTCTTTGCCAATGCTGACACTGCTGGACTCGCCCACGTGAAGTCGGAGCTGCAGAAGAGACACACGTGCACAGACTTGGGTGAACTGCGCAGCTACCTTGGCTTGCAGATCACCCGGGACAGAGCACAGCGCACCATTACCCTGACTCAGTCACACATGGTGCAGCAGGTCCTTCAGCGCTTCGCCTTCACGTACTCCTCGCCTCAGGCCACTCCTCTGTCTACTCGCCACTCGCTCTCAGCTCTGCCTTTGGATGAGTCCGTCGTGACGAGAAGTGAGAATAGAATGAATGAATTATGAAATAGTTGGGTACAAGTACTAACCCTAATTGGGTTGTACCCCTTATGGGCTACCCTACTACAGCCTACACAAATGTATAAGCTATAATGTTCTGACACACCCCCATAGGCAAAGTGGGGGAGAACAAGTGGTCACAAGACCAGTCAAGCAAAGCAAAGCAAAGCAAAGCAAGCTCAGGGTGGATCACAAAGTCACCACACAGTCCAAGCACAAGAGTAAGGCCACAAGGCCAGTTCACATGCAAGGTCATATATATAAAGGTAAAACAAGCAAGGGCAGGTATAGAAAGAAGACAGTACAAACAAGATCAAGAAGTGAGCAAGTGAGGCCAGGTAGGCACAAGACCTAGCACAGTACAGAAGCGCTGATGATCACAAGGCGGAAGGGCCTTGGTGAAGATATCAGCAGTGTTGGCCTCAGAGGCCACGTAGGTGAGGCGGGGCTGACCACGCTGCTGCAGCTCACGAGACAGGAAGTAGCGGAGAGCAATGTGCTTCGTTCTGTGCTCCAGTCTGTGCTCCCGACACAAGGCCAGCATGGCCTTGTTGTCTACGTACAGAACTGGAGGAGAACGAGGCGGCTCTCCTAGGTCAGTCAGCAGGTAGGTGAGCCAGCGTAGCTCCTGTGCAGCCATTGCCCCTGTGTAGATCTCAGCCTCACAGCTGGAGCTGAGAACAGAGGACGAGCGGGTAGACCGCCCCGCACCAGCAGCCGAGCCGCCCAGCAGCCGAGCCGCCCAGCAGCCGAGCCGCCCTGCAGCCGAGTCGCCCGACAGCCGAGCCGCCGAGCAGCCCGATCGCTCCACCTACCTGGTAAGAGCACAGTCTCTACCACTGCAGTGCCCTGCCTCCTGCTGTTATGGCTTCCCCTAGCGTTCTCACCTTTGACGCTGAGGGTCGGGCAGTGGACTTTGAGGTCTGGGTAGATGATCTGCAGCTTTTCTTGCAGTGCGATAGGGCAGACGGCCTCTCCCTGTTTGACCTCATTTCTGGTGCCTCCCCTGCCCCTGCTGCTGATGCTGACGCCACTGTTCGCTCACAGTGGGCCACACGTATCGCTGCTGCTTGCCTTGCTGTGCCCCGCCACTTACCGACCACTGAGCGTGCACACTTTAGCCAGTATAAGAGTGCTCAGACCTTGTACGACGCTGTAGTTGCACGCTACTCTTCCCCTGCCACTGCTGCACTGAGCCGCCTCATGCTACCGTACCTCTTCCCTGACCTTGCAACCTTTCCCACTGTTGCTGACCTCATTACGCACCTCCGCACTAGTGACACTCGCTACCGCGCTGTGCTTCCTGCTGAGTTCTGCGCCAAGAACCCCCCCCCCCCCCATGTACATCACCCTCTACTACATAGTCACCCGGCTCCCTGACTCTCTCTGTGTAGTCAGGGACCACTTCCTCTCTGTTTGCCCCACCACTCTTACCGTTGACCTCCTCGAGAAGGCCCTCCTAGCGATAGAGAAGAGCATAGTCGCTGTAGGAGCCTCTCGTGGTGACCCTCGCACCCCCGTCTTTGAGGGGTGTTCTCCCTCCCCCCTCTTGCCCTCTGTTGCCTCTGCTGCTGCGGCCGACCTCGTTGGTTTCAAGTCGATCGGCGCTGCGTCTGCCCCGAGCGGGAGACGCCGCACCGGCAAGGGCAAGGGGGGCAAGGGCACTGGAGGAGGTGGAGGGGGCGGTGGAGGTGGTGGTGGAGGCGGTGGAGGGAGTGGGGGTGGTGGTGGGAGTGGTGCTGGGGGTGGCGGCGGCGGCGGCAGCAGTGGAGGCTGCGGAGGCGGTGGAGGTGGCGGAGGGAGCGGAGGCGGCGGAGGTAGTGGAGGAGGCGGAGGTGGAGGAGGCGGTGGAGGCGGCGGAGGCGGCGGCGGTGGCGGAGGCGGCGGTGGTGGAGCGAGTCGCGACTCTGCGTCGAGGAGTGGCGCCGGTGGTGGTCAGCGCCAGCAGCAGCAGCGGAGTGGTGTGACCCTGTCCCCTCAACAGCTTCGTGAGTGGTACACTTCACGCCAGCGCGGTGGGGGTTTTGGTCCCTGCTCTTACGTTCTCCGTACCGGCGACCGCACTGGTGAGCAGTGCGGGGGTCCGCACTCCACCCAGCGCTGCTTTGGTCGCCTGACGGACGCGTGGCGTCGCCAGTTCCCTGAGGCGTGAGAGATCCCTCGCTGGGGAGATCTGGCTAAGGCCGGGGTTGCTATCTTTGATCTTGACTTTGATGCTATTCTTGCTGCCATGTATGCTGTTGCTGATAGTGTTGAGGGTGCCTGTTACCTGTGTGTACCGCCTGACCCGGGCATTGAGGCTGCTGCTCTAGGTGCTGGTGAGACTGCTGCTCTAGGTGCTAGTGCGTCTGCTGCCCCAGGTGACAGTGCGTTTGCCGCCCCAGGTGCTGGTGAGTCTGCTCTCTCAGGTACTACGTCGGCTCAGGCCTTCCACACCTTCACCCTGGACTCGGGTGCGTCCCGCTCCTTCTTTCGAGACCGCACCACTCTTACGCCGCTTAGTCGGCCGGCTGCAGTCTCCCTAGCAGACCCCTCTTGGGGTCCTGTCCTTGCCAGCTTCTCCACTGTCCTTCCGTGCCCTGCAGCCCCCTCTGGCACCCTGTCTGGTCTCTACCTCCCCTCGTTCTCTACGAACTTGGTGAGTGGAGCGGACCTACAGGATCGAGGGGTTGACCAGTTCACTCCTGCGAGTCATTGAGTGACCCACTGCACGTGTGCTCGGACAGGCCGACACTTGGCCACGTTCACCCGGCGGCCAGGGTCGAGCCTGTACACCCTTACTGCTGAGTCTCCTCCTACTGCTGAGTCTGCCCAGGTAGATGCGTCGAGTCAGGTGTTTGCTGCGGCGTCCAGGTCTGGTCCTGAGTCCGTCCCCTGCTCGTGTCGTCTGCTGTCCCACCAGACTCTCCTTTGGCACCACCGCCTTGGTCACCCCTCCTTGCCTCGTCTCCGAGGCATGGCCTCCCGTGTCCTTGTCTCTGGTCTTCCTCGGTCTCTCCCTCCCCTTCCTCTGGGGCCTGGCCCTACCTCCGTCCCCCGCGGTGGCGACGGGGCCGAAGTGGGGCCTAAGTGGGGCCGTAGAGGGGCCGACGGGGCCGAAGTGGGGCCGTAGCGGGGCTGCAGCGGGGCCTAAGCGGGGCCGTAGCGGGGCCGACGGGGCCTAAGCGGGGCCGTAGCGGGGCCGACGGGGCCGACGGGGCCGTAGCGGGGCCTAAGCGGGGCCGACGGGGCCGACGGGGCCGTAGCGGGCCCGAAGCGGGGCCGTAGCGGGGCCTAAGCGGGGCCGACGGGGCCGTAGCGGGGCCTAAGCGGGGCCGTAGCGGGGCCGACGGGGCCTAAGCGGGGCCGTAGCGGGGCCGATGGGGCCGACGGGGCCGTAGCGGGGCCGTAGCGAGGCCTAAGCGGGACCGACGGGGCCGACGGGGCCGTAGCGGGGCCGTAGCGGGGCCGCAGAGGGGCCTAAGCGGGGCCGACGGGGCCGTAGCGAGGCCGTAGCGGGGCCGTAGCGGGGCCTAAGCGGGGCCGTAGTGGGGCCGACGGGGCCTAAGCGGGGCCGTAGCGGGGCCTAAGCGAGGCCGTAGAGGGCGGCTCGAGGGGCAGTAAGGGCGGCCAAAAGGGGCCACCAAGGCGGCTCGAGGCGCTACTCGGGTTAGGAGCTAGGCGCGCTCCGGGCAGGGAAGGAAAAAAAAGTTCCTCGTGGGCCCTAGGCATTATTCCCACTCGGGAACCTGCTCTGATACCATGATGAGAAGTGAGAATGGAATGAATGAATTATGAAACAGTTGGGTACAAGTACTAACCCTAATTGGGTTGTACCCCTTATGGGCTACCCCACTACAGCCTATACAAATGTATAAGCTATAATGTTCTGACACGTAGAGCCGAGTGGCCCGTACCCAGAGCTTGTTGGCTACCTCATGTACCTGATGACCTGCACACGACCTGACCTTGCATACCCTCTTAGCATCTTGGCACGCTATGTTGCTCGTGGGAGACATCGACCAGAGTACATGGCTGCACCGAAGAAGGTGTTGCGCTACGTGTGCAGTACGTCGGGCATGGGGCTAGTGCTTGGAGGGCGGCGTCGAGTGGTCCTCACAGGTTACGCAGACGCTTCTCGGGCTGACGACCAGGCTCTGCAGCGGTCGTCACAGGGTTACACCTTCAGCCTCGGCTCCGGCTCTGTTTCGTGGCGGTCTACCCACTCGTCTTCTGTTCTCAGCTCCAGCCGTGAGGCTGAGATCTACGCAGGGGCCATGGCTGCACAGGAGTTACGCTGGCTCACCTACCTGCTGACTGACCTAGGAGAGCCGCCTCGTTCTCCTCCAGTTCTGTACGTAGACAACAAGGCCATGCTGGCCTTGTGTCGGGAGCACAGACTGGAGCACAGAACGAAGCACATTGCTCTCCGCTACTTCCTGGCTCGTGAGCTGCAGCAGCAAGGTCAGCTCCGCCTCACCTACGTGGACTCTGAGGCCAACACTGCTGATATCTTCACCAAGGCCCTTCCGCCTTGTGATCATCAGCGCTTCTGTACTGTGCTAGGTCTTGTGCCTACTTGGCCTCACTTGCTCACTTCTTGACCTTGCTTGTATTGTCCTCTTTCTATACCTGCACTTGCTTGTTTTTCTTTATATATATGATCTTGCATGTGAACTGGTCTTGTGGCCTTGCTCTTGTGCTCGGACTGTGTGGTGACGTTGTGATCCACCTTGAGCTTGCTTTGCTTTGCTTGACTGGTCTTGTGACCCCTTGTTCTCCCCCACTCTGCCTATGGGGGTGTGTCAGGCATATATGCTATAGTCTGTGTAGGCTGTAGTGGGGTAGTTCATATGGGGTACAACACTTTAGGGTTTGCTACTTGTACTCCCCTTTCTGCTGAATGCATTCATTCTCGTTTCTCGTCAGAAAATTGACGAAAATCGATGTTTGCACTTCAGACACGCCCTAAGAAGTACTGTCCAAATTACAACACAGTATAACCCCGTTATACACACAAAACCCTGTTGACAATTCTTCGATGGAACTACCAAGGCCGCCATGGCCACCTTTTCATAGCCTGGAACTCAACGCGCGTGAAGCCTACGTGTCAGCTGGCTTTAAGAACAACAGATTTGAGTTCGCCTCATTAAGACGAAGAGATTGGTACAGCCTAGGTGTTCAACTGATGAACATTGTATCGACTCTCAAGTCTAACCTGTTGTTATCTCAGCTATCAGTAATCAAGGTTCTCATTAACAGCGCGTCAAACCCAGGGTCTAAGCTCGTCTGGCATGACAACAAGGATTTTCTATTGTTTATCAAGATTGTGTCTTTCAAAGGGAGGATGTTTCCTCGATGTCTTATCGGCGACTGCTCAGTATTTGCAGTAGGAGCAATGGTTAGCAATGCTAACAATGAAACTAGTTAATCATTCTGTGTGTCAGAATCCCAGTCACTAGACCACTGGGATAAAAGGGCTTGTTAAGTAGCAGGTCAGTGCGCCCATAACCCCCCAGGCCAACATGCCTGTAACCCTTCCCTAGGATCAATCGGGGATCACTAGTGGACTTCTAACACCCCCCCGCACTGGGATGCCCGAAGTGCACACACTGGGATTCGAACCCAAGACCTTCGCTCTAATACCATGTCAGAATCCCAACCACTAGACCATTGGGATAAAAGGGCTTGATTCAGTAGCGGGTCAGTGCGCCCATAACCCCCCAGGCGAACGCGCCTGTAACCCTCTCCAGGATCAATTGGGCATCCACAGTGCAGATCTACTGACACCCCCCTCACACTGGGAGGCCCAGGACTAAGCACAGCGGCAACGGCCTACATGTGCATACACTGGGAATCGAACCCGAGACTGCTCTGATACCATGTCAGAATCCTAGTCACTAGACCACTGGGATAAAAGGGCTTGTTAAGTAGCGGGTCAGTGCGCCCATAACCCCCCAGGCCAACATGCCTGTAACCCTTCCCTAGGATCAATCGGGGATCACCAGTGGACCTCTAACACTGTGCTCAGACTACCGGCATATCAGGCATTCCAAACCCTTTTCTCAACATTTCTATCGGGCTCTAGTCATCATTGCACCATGCCTCGTGCACCTGCTAAGGGGAAACAAGTGGTGGAAGATCTTGTCAAACATTATATATGTTGTGCTTGTTTAGGCTACAGTGGGTTAGCCTATAGGGGGTACACAATTCTAGGGTTAGGTACTTGTACTGATTTCACTGTTACTTCAATCATCCCTGTTCGTTCATTTCAACATGGTATAGAGCAGGTCCTTCGCTAGGACCGTTTTTTTAGGGCCCACCACTACCTTCCTACCTACCTACCTAACTGCGCCCTAGGGCGCCTCGTTTTTCACGGCCCCCTAAGGCCCCGCGACCCACGACCCGCCCCTTAGCGACTCGCGCGCAGCCCTTTAAGGCCCCGTCGGCCCACGCGCTCGGCCCTTACGGCCCCGCGCTCGCCCCTTAGCGACCCTGTCGGCCCCGCGATCGCCCCTAACGGCCCCGTCGGCCCCGCGCTCACCTCCCTAGAGGCCCCCGTCGGCCCCGCGCTCGCCCTTAGCGGCCCCTTACGGCCCCGCGCTCGCCCCTAGAGGCCTCGATCGGCCCCGCGCTCGCCCTTAGCGGCCCCTTACGGCCCCGCGCTCGCCCCTAGAGGCCCCGAACGGCCCCCCCAGAACGAGCCGCCCGACCCGAGCAGCCCGAACCAAGCCGCCCAGCCCGAACCGAGCCGCCCGAACCGAGCCGCCCGAACTGAGCCGCCCGAACCGAGCCGCCCAGCCCAAACCGAGCCGTGCCTCCCGAACCTAGCCGCGCCGCCCTACCTGAACCGAGCCGCGCCGCCCGTACTGGACCGAGCCGCCCTACCTGAGTCGCACTGCCTACTGTTTTTGGGGTGCCCCTACTGCTATTACTCCTACTACTGCTATGGCTAGCCCTCCTGTGCTGGCTTTCGATGTTGAGGGCCGCCCAGTGAAGTTCGAAACCTGGCTAGATGACCTACACCTCTTCCTACAGCTCACTGCCAAGGAGGACATCTCACTGTACGATCACGCCCTAGGCCATGCTCCTGCTCCTGCTGCTACTGCTGACAGCACTGCCCGCTCACATTGGCAGACTCGTGACGCCCACGCTCGCTTTGCTATTCGCAACTCCCTGCCGATAGATGAGCGCGAGCACTTTGGGCAGCACAAGACTGCACAGGCACTGTACACTGCTGTCGTTGCCCGCTACTCCTCATCGGCCTCTGCCGCACTAGGCCGTCTCTCTCTTCCCTACCTGTTCCCCGACTTAGCCTCTTTCCACACAGTCGCTGACCTCATTACGCACCTCTACACTAGTGAGGCTCGCTTCCGCGCCGCCATGCCTGATGAGTTCCTTGCCAAGAACCCACCCCCACTCTGGCTCACTCTCTACCACCTAGTCACCCGCCTCCCTGACACTCTGCGCTCAGTCAGGGACCACTTCCTAGCTCGCTGCCCCACTGAGCTCACCATTGCCCTCCTCGAGAAGGAACTCCTTGCAGCTGAGGCTAGCATAGTCGCTGTAGGTGCCTCTCGTGGCGACCCCCGCACCCCTTTCTTCAAGGGGTGTTCCCCTTCCCCCCTTCTTCCCTCTGTCGCCTCTGCTGCTGCTGTCGACCTCCTTGGTGCTGAGAAGGTCGGGACTGCGCTGCTTCGAGCGGGCGCCGCAACAGCA